AAGCTGTGACCTTGTAATTGAGGGGAAATTTTTTATCTTCTGGATAAAAAGGAATTTTGGCTTTCGAAAAGCAGGCCTAGAAAATGTTTTTAGGAAGTTTAGATTCTTTAAGTCATCCAGTTAGGCTTTTGTTATCTCCTTCTGTGAGGGGATATCATGCTGTGATGGGAGGATTAGAGATTTTGAGCTTCTATAAATTACCAGCTGTGTGATGATTAGTAAGAGCAAGGAGCACTGTTTCTAGCAATGTGGGCCTTTGTTTTCTCCTATATAAAAAAGGAGGACAGCATCCATTTTCCCAGAGTAACTGGAATGTAAAAGAAACAGCAGGGATCCACTATATTCAGTGTCACTTGTCCCTCAGTTTACTCCATGAACAGAGTCTGCAGCCTAGTTGGGCTTAAGCTTCCCAGTACCCAGTAAAGGATACATTCCTTATGATGTCTTATGATTCACTGAGCATTTTGGTAGCACTGGAGTGAAAGGCATCACATAGATCTGAGGTGGTTTTAAATGGAGAAGTTGATAAACAAGCCACCCAATGTGTTATCCCAAATTAATGGAGGTTCCAGAAAAGGCTTGTTCTTGGGATTTTTAGTTGCCAACAGTGCTTGTAATAGATACTATAGTTCAGTGCTGACTCATCTTCCTAAACTCTGAACAGGGTTTCCCAAGGATGCTTCCTGAATCATAGGGAATGCCCCAGTATTTGTTTATAATGTAAACTTCAATGTTATTCTCCCTGAGAGTCTGATTTAATAGGTCCTTGGTGAGCCCAAATTCTGCATTTGTAAACATTGTTCCAAGTGATTCTTATAATCAAGATCATTTAAGAAATGCTACCCCAGAGGCAAAGTGGAAGACTGGAAATAATCCCAGGCAGCGGGAGATCCTAGGCCAGTGGGTGGGTGCAGCAGGGAGAGAGTATCTATCATCTCAAGGTTGGGATGTGAATTCATGAGAGCTGGAGACATCAGAGCTCTTGAGGCTTATTGGGGCTGCTAACCAAAAAGGTCAGTGATTGGAACCTACCAGCAGCGCTGCTGGAGAAAAGTGAGGCAGTCTGCTTCTGTAAATATTTACAGTCTTGGAAACCTTATGGGGCAGTTCTACTCTGTCCAATAACAAAGGCAAAATTGACTCAGTGGCAGTGGGTTTGGTTTTCTGGTTTTTGGAAACATTGAGGATGTTAAGTCTGCTATAGACTTGAACTTTCAGATATGGAATCTCTTAATGTTAGAGCTCAGATGAACCTTAGAGATCATCTAGTCTGATGGGTCTCAAGTCAGGAAGTTTAGAAAAAAGAAATAGAGATTTCCAGGCTTGAACCCAGGAAACTGAGTTTACTAATTCTACTGAGCAATAATTAATACAGTCCAATTAATTTATTTTGTAGATAAGGAAATTCACCTTCAGAGAGAGACTAAGTGGTTTAATTAGAATCACACCACAAATAAGTGGTCAGATCTAGATTGATATGTACTTGTCTTGACTCCTGCTGAAATTTTTTCCTTTATTTGGACAACATAAATTGATGATCTTTTACACATTAGTTGTTATCCTAGGGTGTGGAGATAAAGAGTTTTCAACCACAATTCCTACTCTTAAGAAGTCCCCAATCCCATGCGAGAGCAAGGTCTATAAAAAATATAGCAAGATCTATAAAAAGTCACTGTTCCTGGAGAGAGGATGCAGGTCTGAATACGACAGACTATGTTCACACACAGCTTATTTTCTAGTTGGAGAACAAGTGAACAGTTTTAAAAATGTTTTCAGATGATAATGTGTGCTTAGATGAAAATATGAGTAATGAAAGTGATGGTTACTGGCTGGTATAACTGATGAAGAGGCAAGTGGATTTTCTTATCCAGATGATGAGAAAAGTTCTCTCTGAGGAGGAAATCAAAGATAAGACATGAGGAAGCCAGATCATACAAGGTTTTGTAGATAATGCTTTGGAATATGTTCTCTATCTCATGGTCCGTGGGGGCCAGTGAAGTGTTTAGCCTAGAGGTGCCATGCCCAAGCTTGGGTTTTAGGAAGGAACCTCTGGTGGCTGGGGGCAAACAGAAAAGAGAGGTAGTTAGATTGATTGCTCTTTCAGGGGCTTTACAAGGAAAAGAAAGGAAAGCAAGCAGGGAGAGAGCATATCTTGAAAGACAGTTGCTTATCCTTTCTAGTTCCTTGACTACAGTCTTTGTAAGAAGACACTATCACCAATAGAAATAAGTCACATAGTCCCACATGTCCTCTAGTCCTTTGCCCTGGCACTGCTCAAAGCCTTCCATGAACTCATGAAGCCCCTTCTTCTTTCAGTATGCATTTCTTCTCAGCAGAGGACCATGAAAGCAGCTAGGTGGAAACACCCTGTACTTCTTGCCCCACATTGGTGAATTAGCCCTTGCATGGCTCTGTCCTGCCTCCTGTCTAAGATTAGTCTCTCTATCTCTGCCTGCTTCCTCTGAGAAATCAATCTGTGAATTCCCATATCTGTTTAACCTCTAGCTCACTCCTACCACAATGTAAACATGATCAAAGCTCTCTCATCTGGAACAATTGATCAAACCCAGGACATTCTACATTTAGTCCTGTCTTTCTTCTTCACAGTGTATCTTTTAGGAAAAATGGTGTTTCACAGTTTTTCATCCCCTATTCCTTTTCATCACACAGGTTTTCATCATCTCACCCCCTGTTGCATGAACTGGTCTCTTGGTTGCCAAACCTAACGGATACTGTTGTTGTTGTTATGTGCCCTCGAGTTGGACCTGACTCATAGAGACCCCTGCTTGGGTTTCCGAGGCAGTATCACTATGGAAGTAGATTGCCCCATCTTCCTCCTGAGGAGTGGCTGGTGGGTTTAAACTGCCAGCCTTCTGATTAGTAGTCAAGTGTCTTAGGCACTACACTACCAGAGCTCCCTAACAGATACTATTCAGCCCTTATTATGCCTGATTCCTTAGTAGCTTCCAAAGGTAACATCTAGTCTCTCATTAAAACTTTCTCTGTCCTTAGTTGCCTCTGTGTTATCCCTCTTTTTCTTTTTTTTTGGATTCATTACTCTTAATTTTCCATTGGTTCTGACCTGCCCTTAAATGCCTGTATTGCTCAGGCAACCTTGTCTGCCCTCTCCTCAAAATCTACAAACAAGCCTTGGCGATTTTAACCCTCTCCTCCTTGCCACTGACTTCCATATCCACTCTGAGTCCTAATCTACACATTCAGCTCTTGGAACGCTCCAGTTATATTTCCCAAAACACGTGGAGCTCAATGTTTCGACTACAGGATATGCTAATGAATTTGTAAGTATTAAAATATCTCTCTACTCCAGCATCTGAAGAGGCAAGATCTCTTGTTACAGGTATGGTCCATGTGTGTGTGTGTGTGTGTGTGTGTGTGTGTATGTGTATGTATGTATGTTGGAAAATTGTTGGACATGAAGAATTTTAGAAGATGAGAAAAGCTTCTGGGAAGAAGTTATTATTTTATGAGAAAAATATGGAGATACATGGAAAGATAGATCTTGGGAAAGTAGGAGGAGATGACTCCAAGAATGGCCAGAGATGGCAGGGAAGAGTGAGAAGAGCTTGCATGTATAGTTGTATGTGGAAGGAGAGAAAGAGAGAGAGAGAAAGAGAGATAGTAAGATTGAGAATTTTCTGATTGGTTGATTTTTGTCAGATGCCTAAAACAAGAAGTTTTTTAAAGGGATTTTTAAAGAGCTTGGCTGTACTGTATTCAGTGGGTCTTTCTTTGTCACTTTCTTTCTCTCTCCCTTTCTTCCTCTCTTATGTTCTTCTTTCTATCCCTTCACCCCTTTCTTCCTTCCCTCTCTCTTTCTTTTTCTTTCTGTTATCACTGGACTTTAAATCTTTCTTCATTTTTCCTTTTATTCCATTTCTGTTGTAACTTTTTTTTTTTTTTTTAAACATCTGTGTTCTCCATTTGGTGATGGACTTTTGAGGACTCCATTTTGTACTCCTCTCATTTAGTACTCTCCTGAATTTAATTAAAACATCTGATACAGTCTGGGTGTTTAGGGGAATTTTTAGCCAAAGGTCAGAGAAAATTACTTTATTTCTACAACTCTTAACAATAGAAGAGAGGTTCTTTTTATGTTAGTGATAATAGCTCAAAACTCTGAGAGGCACAGACAAAACTGTGCTATAGTAAATTACATTTATTTCCTACTCAAAGCAAAATTAAACAATAATCACTATTACTCACCCAGTATCTCTATTTCTCTCTTAAGTGAATTGAAAGTTCTGTCAGGCAGGTAGACAAAAGCACCAGTGACACAGCTCAGTCACTGATTCTCTCTCTTGAGGGAACCTGCTTTCCCTTTTATATTTAAGAGGATCAGTAATGATGACATCTAGTGACAACTTTCCCTTTCTTATTTGCGGCACAGAGAGATAGGATTCTTCTAGTCTGTAACAATTATTACAAACCCATTAGCATTCAGATAGTCCCAAATACTAAACATAATAGCTGCATCTCTAATTTCCTTAACTGTGCAAAATCTGACATTTTCGTTCACCTTGGGCCATTTTTTCAGAAAAATTTCCGCTTAAATATTTTCAAATTACTCGTGGAAATGTACATACTAGGTGAGAATATTAAAAGAGAGAAGGGGGCTTTCATGACAAAAAATGGGCTCAAAAGAACATACAGTAGGATGCATAGGTACAAGTGATTCCATAGGCTTGTGATGTACTCTTTCCTTTAGATGTGTAAGAAAAGACAAACATAAGGAGATGACTACACACCATTTGAAATCCCCACACAAAACCTGGGCATATGAAGCCCTATTTGGGTAAGACTTACACTCTCAAAACTTCCTGTGTGACTTGTGTTTTGATCACTGCTTTTGATTCTCCATTTTCCATTTCTTGGTTTATAGAAATGAAGAAGATTCTCAAGGCAGAGCTCTGAATCACAAAGCACTGTACTCTTGCAACAGGACATACTTATTGAAGCAATAAAATAACCAAAGGACAAAGATGCTTTATTTGAGCTGGATATTTCTTTGGATTGTCTCCAGAGAGAGAATTAAAAGTTTTAATATTTCAGGTAGGTGTTTTCACTTTTCGTGTTAAACTGTGAGTTTTGTGGTCAACATTTAAAGTGACAATCTGCTACATCAGCTGCATGATATATTAATACACACCATTTACTTTCTACTATTAAAATGGGAGTGCAGGGCAAATTATTGGAGTGAATAACCTTCAGCTGACACCAAGAAATGTTGAACAATTGAGCTACCAAAGCTGCGTGTTCAGTGGCAGCAGGTAAAGAGGAATAAACAGTGGCTCAGTCATATTTAATGGGAAACCTCTGCTGCTAATGGCAGTTGTTGTAGGACACTGAGAGGGAGTTAGAACATGAGCTTTTTTTTCCCCCCTACGAAACAGGAACAGTGAAGAAAACACACACACACAAAAGTTAACTTCTTGTTAAATTAAATTCTATTGCAAAGGCAAGTGAACATTTCATCTTCTAATTCATTTCTATGTTGATTGGTTTGTTTGTTGTTTTTAGGTTGCTCCACTAAAAAACTCATTTGGACATATCATGCGAGGAGTGAGGAGGAATTTCTCTTATTTTGTAATTTGCCAGAACTACAAAAATCACATTTCTTCCACAGGAGTCAGCTAGCATCAACACAAGTCCTGGAACACATGTCCTGCAATGGTAGTAAGGACCTGTCCAATGTCCAATGGTACCTACAACCTCAAAATGGAGACCCATTACAGGAAATTTCTAAAGACCATCTTCAAATCAAAAGTGCTCTTCATTTTTCCTCTATAAGAATGAGTGATGCTGGGTTATATATTTGTAGACCCAGGATTAGGTACATTCCAAGTTTATTCCTGAAAACATTCCCAAATCCTTTATTATCAAGATATAATATCCATGTTAAATAGACCTTGTTAATTCTCCTAGGAACCCTCAGGATGATGCCTGTTGTATCAACATGGTCTTAGAAGTCAAGCCCAAGACAAATACATCCTGCTTGGACTCTGGACATGAGCAAAATCTTCTTCTAGGTAGCACTGATTCAATTTCTTGTCCCAGTCTCAAGTGTCAGAATCTTACACAAAGCCCAGAAGTGACCTGGTACCAGGTAAGAATGACTCTCTGAAATTGACATGAGTATGTTTTTAATGGTAATATCTCTATAGTTACTTTACAGCAATGTGAGTTTGAGAATCTGAGGTCTAGAATTCAGAAAGGCTTGCCCTATGCCTATGGACAATGCTTGAAATGGTCTCTCCCCCCACCTTTTTTTTTTTTTTTTGACCTACAGAATCTGGTATTCCAATTATTAGACCACTTTTTTTTTTTGTCATTATACCAATGCCAGAAAAATTCCTAAAATTCAAGTATGTTACACATGAAGTAAGGCATACATTTACTAATATCTGCTAATGGAGAAAGCTAGAATAGTTCATTTTAACTATTTTTGAAAGCAGTGAACATTCCTGTGGGTAAGGAGACACAAAACAAGTAACTTTTGAATATTCTTTGAAAGAAATAGGGGATGGAATATTTTCCAAGGACGGCACATGTGAGAGGAAATTTAAGGCAAAATTAAGGGTGGCATTGGGTGATATGTGTCTTGTACAGCTAAGAAAGCAGGGAAGGAATTCAGTGCTAGAGAGACTGCAAAAGAGTCAGGGAGGCCTCATCTTCTGACCTCCTCTAACCACACAAGAGGAAGACAGAATCACCATCTGTAGCCCAAGGCCTATTCCTGTGAGGCCAGACATGTTGCCTCCATCCAGCACAGATTATGGGGTTTATTAGGGAAGTACCAGACTATAATTCAAGTTCAGAAATGATGCACAGTCTCTCTCAGCCTGCCATCTCTCAGCCAACAGCCTCTCTCAGTCTCTCTCCCACCAATGTGTGTATCTTGTTGTCTCTCTCTTAGCAATGTGTGTTTCTTGGTGTATCTCTCACAGCAGCTCATGTCTCTCAGGAGTGCATTTCTCTCAGCAGCACATCTTTTTCAGCCAGCAGTCAGAGAGATTTCTTCTACCTCTAAAAGAGCTCCTTTTGAGCCTGGCAGAGTGACCACTAACCAATCCCAACATCAGCATTCTATATACCTGAGAGAGAGTGAAATTCCCAGAAAATTACTTTGTGCTGCTCCCAACAGAAATATCTCAGGTGGATAACTTTAACAATCAGGAGCTACTCAGTTGCTCACAGCAAATTCCACCATGGAGTTTACAAAGACTTATGGCTAGAAAAGCCACACTATGTAATTTACTACACCACAGAGACAAAGGGAACAGAGGCAAGAGAAAAACAAGTTTCACAATGATGTTGTCATCACATATGAGAAACTGCCATAACAAACACATCTCCCATTTTCATCATGTTTTATACTTCTTCGGAGTGGTAACATACATATCAATGTTGGTAAAGCATCTACCCCAAAGTAGTCCTGTGCTAACTAATCCCTGTGTGGCAGAGTCCAGGAAAAGAGTTTAAGTTTCTCCTATAAGTGTAATAGGTTTTTGAAGTCCAATATTTTGCCTTAAAAATTCAGGCAAAATTTAAAATTTAAAATTTAACTTTATTATCTGTTAGTATAAAAATATTTTTATTGCCATTGATTAAAATTTTAAAAATGTGAACGATATTTACCCAGTGGGCTTATATACTACAAGATTAACAGTTAGCAATCCCTGAAGGTAAGGGATCTCTGGTAGCATAGTGCTTAAGGCACTTGACTGCTAACCAGAAGGCTGTTGGTTCAAACCCACCAGCCATTCCTTGGAAGGAAGATGGGCAATCAATCTACTTCCACAGGATACTGCCTCAGAAACCCAAGGAGGGGTCACTATGAGTCGGGTCCAATTCGACGGTACACAACAACAACAGATGGTACAAACATTGACCTGATAGAAATGTTTGGGTTTTTTTTTTTTTTCCTTGAGGAGAGGTGAGTATAATTGGACTCCCTTGGTCGTACAAAGGATTAATGTGCTTTCTGCTAAATGAAAGGCTAGAGGTTCAAATACATCCAGAGACACCTTAGAAGCAAGACCCATTGACTTACTTCCAAAAAACCAGCCACTGAAAACGCTTTGGAACTCAGTTGTACTCTGACACACATGGGCTGACCTTGAGTCAGATTTAACTCAACAGCAAATGGTGATTTTGGGTATAATTATTGTGATCCTCTTAAGACTCTGTGATCATAGGTAGTTAGGTGTTATGATGTCCAATATTGAAATACGTATACAGACAGGGTGAGTGATGTGCTTAAGGTCTTACATTTATATTTGAAAATGGCAGTGAAATTACTGTGGCCTCAATAAAATCTTAATTTATGCAACACATTAATTTCATTACCTTTAAAATGAGGTTAGTAAGAATAACCAATGGTTTTGTTCATTATTTTCAGTTTTGTCTGAAGAACGAAACTTCCATTAGTTTAAAAGTCTCTGTACTTGGACTGTCAGACCTTTCACTGTGTCTAGGTGAGCTGTTGATAGGCCCGTGAAGCAGGCTGAACCCCAGTGATGTTACTGTGACCTCATGTCAGTAGGACTTGTACCCAGAATAACTTTTCCATTGGTGGTTTAAGACAATCTCACTTGCATGCCACTGTTGCTTGCCACGATGTTGATGTCATTGCTGGGTTGTTTCTGTGCCCTGTGTTCTGTGGAATTTTTGCACATACATCTTCCACTTCTCTTTCTTATTTTCTTTGGGCTTAGTTTCCATGGTAACTGACATCTGTTGACATTCAGTGAACCTGGTGAGATGGAGAACTGGTGAACATGGTAAGAATAGCCAAACCCTAATAAGGAATAAGGAAGAAGTAAAGACAATTTGTATTTGACTTTTGAAAACTCTTCCAAGGCAGATACATTTGCCCATTCCATTGTTCTTATTATGAATATTGTGGACATCTCACAATCCTGGACAACTTTCTAACATCTATTGAATACGATAGTCCACCTGTTGTCCAACCAATACTGAGAAATACTGAGAACAGAGGAACCATTTCTGTCCTTGTTCTAAACAGAATATTAATACAATGAACTATTGTATTAGCACTGGGACATTTTATGGTTGATTCATTCTGAGTTGGCAGATGGATCTTTTTCACAAGAGCTATGATCTGGACAGTTCTCTTTATTTTGGCTAACAGAGTAAAATTTGTATCCATGTAAACAATTTTACATTTATTTCTATTAAATTAAAGTTGTTTTTTTTTTTTTTTTAGTTTTAGCCTATCATTACATGTGTCAAGATACTGGAATTCTGATTTCAAATTCTCACACATTAGCCATCCTTCTCAGATTTGTGAGTTCTGTACACAAAGCATGATATATCTTCACTCAGGCCTCTAGTGAAAATATTGAACAGGATAGCATAGTACTGAGGATAGAGTTTGTAGCTGTTGAGTGATCCTGTTTGTAAGTAAAATGATCCTTCTACTAATATATGGTCCATTAATTCATTAACTTGGTAGTGTTGCTGCTCAATTACTTAGAAAGACATACAAATGTATTATCATTCAGTCCAAATGTATCAAGAAGATCATGAAAATATTTTCCAAATGACTCAATGAAGTGAAGACAGTGTGTCTGCTATATTTCTCTGAGCCTTTGACCTCATCATTCTGTCATTGAAGGAAATGAAATGACTTTCACATATTTATTGTTAGTGAATGTAAATGGAATGATATTTATCACACTTTTTAAGATTTTACAGACCATCTATTTAGTAATTCATACAAGAGTCTAGATAGGAGTTGACAACTAATTCATTAATCTATAATTTACATAATATATCCTTTTTCCCATTAAAATATTATTTTTTTAGGTGCCATTAAGTTGACTCTCACCTCATACTGACCTCATGTACAATAGACAAAATATTGTCCAGTCCAGCACCAGCCCCATGATTGGTTGCAGATGGGACCGTTGTTATCCATAAGGTTTTCAATGGCTAATTTTCAGAAGTAGGTTGCTAGGCCTTTCTTCTTAGTCCATCTTAGTTTGCTCCACTGAAACCTGTTCAATATCAATGCAACATGTAAACTTCCAGTGACAGATGGGTGGTGGCTGCATATGAGGGGTTTGGCTGGGAGTTGAACATGGGTCTCCCTTATGGAGGGTGAGAATTCGACCACTGAACCACCATTGTCTTCCATTAAAAGACAAATATTATCTTTAGCACAAGATAAATATTCTCTTCAGTACAACATTTATGGTGTCAGTTTATTACTGAGACAAGAGCGTGGGCAGTTATGCTCAGCAGGAAGGAGCAACAAGGGCAACAGAAACAGAAAAAGAATATTCAGTGAATGGTGGGGAGGCTGCACAAGTTCTTGAGTGATGTTGTGAGTCTTAAAGCTGGAAAGCATAAGTTCTTGAGTGATGTTGTGAGTCTTAAAGCTGGAAATAAAGGCTATGGTTTAGATATGGGAACATTGAGAACCTGTTAATGTGTTTGAACTTAGTAGTGTATGTTTGGATCCAAAGAACTAGCAGTGGGAACAGAAGAAAGGTAGAAGACGTCAGTCATATTTTCAAGGAATAAAATAAAAGATTAAATGCTTTGATTGTGGAATTTGAAAGAAAGAATTAAATATTTTGGGTCTTTCTGGCTCAAAAGATGTTAATAGCATTTACCACTTTGGGAAGAGTAGAAATTAGTTTCAAATAGGAGTGGAAGAAAAGTGGTGTGTACAGATCTGGACTAAAGGAGTCCATAATGGGGAACATGAAATGGGCATGAAAGTCTGGAGTCCATGAAGAAAAACACAATTAGAGATGTAGATCCTGAGAGTCTTTCACACTAGGTAGTGGAAATCCAGGTAGCCACTAACTGCCGTGCATCTCTGGGGACTGCCATTCCCATAAAAAACAAGGTGCTCTTTGGAGTGGCAATGATGCTTGGTAGTTCAGGAGCTTAATAATATTATGCTATAAAACTAAAAAAAAAAAAAAAAACCACACACACACACACCTCGTTGCTGTTGAGTCAGATCTGACTGATAGTCACCCCCTCCTTGAGTTTCCGAGGTAGTATCACTCCTCGGAAGGAAGGTTGGGCAATCCTACTTCCATAGTGATACTACCTCGGAAACCCAAGGAGGGGTCGCTATGAGTCAGGGCTGACTCGACGGCACATAACAACAACAACAACAACAACAATCACTACGGAAGTAGATTGCCCAGTCTTCCTTCCCAGGAGTGGCTTGTGGGTTTGAACCACCAGCCTTCTGGTTTACTGTCAAATGCCTTAGGCACTACGCCACCAGAGCTCCCATTATGGTATAGAATTATAATTAAAACGAGCTCCTGGGTGGCACAAATGGGCAAGCACTCTACTACTATCACCTGAAAAGTTGGTGATTCAAGCCTACCCAGAGGTGCTTTGGAAGACAAGCTTGGAGATCTAGTTCCAAATGATCATAACCTTGAAAACCATATGGACCAGTTCTACTTTGCACACAGGGGTTGCAGTGAGTCACAAATGACTCGATGGCAACCAGCAACACAATATAGTACATTAAATTACAATAAATGCCTCAATAAGGAGAATAACCTTTTCTTGTTCTTCTTCTTGTTTCATACATACATTAAGATGTCCTTTATAGTGATTGCGCTTAGCTTTTTTTTTTTTTTTTTCATGATGCAATCCCTTTTAGGATTTATGGACGCTTTTCATAGATGTTCACATTCCTTCTATATTTGGTTCATGACTGAAATCTGAGCAAAACAGAAAATTTCCTATGCAGCTCTCTCTCTTTTCTCAAGGCTCATTTGTGATTGTATTGTTAGAATGTGTCTCTATTATCCTTGTCATAAATTGCTTCTCTTTTATACTTTTCTTTCATGTTCCCTTTGCATTACATCTCATAAAAGTATTAATGATACATATTAAGCCACACTCAAATATTTATGGAAAAAGAAAATGCCCACTTTTTTTTTTAATGTCCTCAGCTGAGGTTATGGTTACAATTCCTTTTCTTCTCTCCATTACCTTCCATGTTATGTACTACACACTTGCATTCCAAATTCTGTTTTTTGTAAGTAACTACTATATTTCCTAAGTTTTGTCCTGTGCTTTTAACCTCTTTTTCTTGTTTTAACATGTTTCTTGATTATTGCTATCCCCTGATAGCTGTTTAACACGTTTATTCTCATCTCTTGGCCTTATTTTACTTCTTATCCATAACTGTTCCTCTTTGACCATCTCTGGCACCTCTCTTAGCCTTTTTCCCGATCTAATGTAAACCCCTTCTTGGGCCACAATAACCAAATCAGAGACTTGGAGGGGTGAGGGAGATCACTGCTTTCACCAGTCAGCAAGCAAAGTGAGAAAGGAAACTCTTCAATCTGAACATGAAACTCAGAGTGATAAAAACTTAGTTTGATTCTTGCTCTTGTCACTTACTAGCTCAGTGATATAGGTAAAACACTTAAACTCCAGAGCCTCAGGTTTCTCATTTATAAAATAGAAGAAATACCATCTGCCCAAACCACGTCAGAGAATTCTTTTTTTTTTTT